CCATTGTATGGATGTACCACAGTTTGTTTATCCATTCACCAGTTGAAGGACATTGGGTTGTTTACAATTTTGGTAATTATGAATAAAGCTACCATAAATATTTACATACAGGTTTTTTTTAGTGAATATAAGTTTTTATTTCACTTGGGTAAAGACCCATGAGTGAGATTGCTGAGTCATATGGAAATTGTATATTAAACTATTATAAGAAACTGACAAACTGTTTTTTAAAGGGGCTGTGCCATTTTGCCCACCAGCAATGTATGAGAGAGACAGTTGCTCCACATCCTCACCTCATTTGGTATTGTCAGAGTTTTTTTAAAAAACTTTAGCCATTCTAATAGGTGTGTACTAGTATCTTATTGTGGTTTAGATCACATTTCCCTAATAATGATTAATGATGTTGAGCATTTTGTATGTACTTATTTGCTATCTCTATCTCATTGGGTGAAGTGCTTATTCAAATCTTTTGCTCATTTTTTATTGGATTATTTGTTTTCTTATTGAGTTTTTGAGAATTCTTTATATATCCTGAATACAAGTCCTGTGTCATATGTGTGTTTTGCAAATAGTTTTTCCCAATTAATGACTCATCTTCTCTTAACAGTGTTTCTTGAAGAACAAACATTTTCAATTTTGACAAAAGTCCAATCTTCATTTTTTTCTTTTATGGATTGTGTTTTTGGTTTCTTATCCAGGAAATCTTTACCTAACCAAGATTACAAAGATTTTCTCCTCTGTTTTCTTCAAGAAGTTTTATAGTTCTTGGTTTTATACTTAGGTTCTATGATTCATCTTGAGTTAATTATCATATATGGTACAAGGTACAGGTTGAGTTCTTTTTTCTATGAGATTTCCTTTTTTTTTTTGAATATAGATGTCCAGTTGTTCCAGCACCATTTGTTGAAAAAACTATCCTTTTTCTATTGAATTGCCTTTGCACCTTTGAGTGTGTGTGTGTGTGTGTGTGTGTGTGTGTATACACCTATTTTGAACTCTCTATTCCATTGATTTGTGCACCCATGCAGTAAGCAATTGTTTATGGTCGAATATGAAGAAGCAGCCAAGAGAATGTGCTTAGGAGCCAGACTGTCTGCGTTTGAGACTGAGCTCAAGCACTTACTAACAGTGTGACCTTGGGCAAATTATTTAGCCTTTGTGTACCTCAATTTTCTCATCCATAAAACATAATTATAGTATACAACCCTCATAGGGGTTTTTATAGATTGAGTGGATGATTATAAAGCACTTAGTATGATGCCTGGCACATATATGTAGTGCTTTTTTACTCTTGAATCTTATTTTATACTTCTATTCATACTGGATTTCCATTAAAATTAACAAATTCCATTATTTTATATCAGATTATCATTATGGGAGTTTAATTGTGGAGATGAATTTTAATGAAATATTTGCATTGCTGCTCAAAGAATAAGATGTTCACTTTTGTTTTCTGTTGGGAAAATAATGCTTACCTAAATTTAATAGCTGTAAGGCATTAAATCAATATCAGATGAATTCCAACCCCTGAAATTTTTCTTTGATTTTGAAAGTATATCTACTATCTGTTAAGGAATGTAATAAGAAATGCAGCCTAAACTAAGCTCATTTCATAAATAGCTCTTGTGAAAAAGTAATTTAAAACATGACCTTTCCATGTTTATGATTTTAGGCACTTTATTTGAGAACTAGTAACTTTTGCAAAATTATTATGGGTCCAAGCTTCAGGTTGTTTACTATTACTTTTTGTTTTGAAAAACTGTCAGGAATTGTTGAGGAAGTACAGCAACATAAATCCTAAATTTCTCCTTAGAAGACTGTGTTGGTAATCCAAATAATTTTATACTATAGAACTATTAGGCTGTAGGATTATTTTCTCCCTATGAACTAGGAAAACTGGAGTGTCCAGAGAAAATATTTAGAATAGTAAATTACATTTAATTCCTCAGCATTGGCAGCTGTTATTGACTGAATGTTTCTTAAATTCATATGTTGAAACCCTAACACCCATTGGGCTGTATTTGGAGATGGGTCCTCTAAGGAAGTAATTAAGGTTAGTGAGGTCATAAAGGTGGAATGCTGATCTGATAGGATTAGTGTCCTTATAGAAAGATTCACCTAGCTTATACTTCCTCCCTCCCTCTCCCTCTCCACACAGAGAAAAGGCGTGGTGACAATGTAGCAAGAAGATGGCTTTTGAAGTCTGAGCAAACTAAAACAGGCTGCCATGACAGAATACCACATACTGGGTGGCTTAAATAACAGAAGTTTATTTCTTATAGTTCTAGAGCCTGGGAAGTCCAAGATCAAGGCAGATTCGGTGTCTGGTGAGGGCTCTCTTTCTAGCTTACAGACCAGCTGCCTTCTTACTGTGTTGTCACGTGGCCTTTCCTCTGTGACTCATCCTTCTGCCTTACCTCCTATAGCCACTGAATTACCAATCTGCTGATTCTTTTTCATCAATATTTCTCAAATTCATCCCATCCTCTTCTTCCTATTAACTACAGTTCTAGTTCTAGCCCTTTGTGGATGACCACAGTAGCCTCTCAGATCCATTCATGTTCCATGTTTCCTTATTCTTATCAGAGTAATCTTCCTGAAATGTAAATTTTGCTTATTTAAATCTTTCTGTGGCTCCCTATTGCCTGTGGGTAACTTCCAAGCTTTATAATATGGCCCCTGCTTACCTGTCTAGCTTCATCTAGTACCCTTCTTGTAACACTAAACCACTTTTAGTTTTCTTACCACTTCCTAAAGAATTTTACTTTGTTCATTCTGTTACTTTTGCCTGGCATGGGAAGGAGGGGCACCCCTTTTACCTGGTGAACTCTAGTTTATTCATTCTCACTTCATGCAGAAAGTCTTCCATCTCACTCCTCCTCCCCACCCTAGATGTCCCTCCTCAGTGTTTCCAGAATATTCTCAGCATCTCTCATTACATGGTCAGGGTTGTTTTTAAACTATCTATTTAGGTGAGTGTTTACTTCTTTTATGGAAAGCTGGTCATGTTCATTTTAATGCCTAGAACAATGTTGGGTGCTTTTGGTATAAAAAAAATATTGGGTATTCAAATGTTTGATTGAGTGACTGAAGATCCAGAAAGTTAAAGTGACTTTAAGATCAGACTCATAGGTAACAAAATTGGGACTGGAAAACAAGTACCTCCTTTATTGCCTCATACTACAGTCCATTGTTCTTCCTTGTACAGTATGTAAAACTAGATAAGTACAATATTTATTGTGCAATTACTGAATAAGTCACTTTAAGCTTGTTTGCTTAATGATTAAGAGGATTAAATTTTGCTTTGTAGATCAAATTTTTACATACTGTATCAATGGAAGCCTATCTGTAGTACATGAATAGTTTCATATAAAATTTATATAGTCACATTCAAAACAGTTCAAGCAGGTAGAAAGGTTACTTGGGCCAGACATGGTGGCTCACACCTGTAATCCCAACACTTTGGGAGGCTGAGGCAGGAGGATTGCTTGAGCCTAGGAGTTCAAGACTAGCCTGGGCAATATAGTGAGACCCCAGCTCTATAAAATATTTTAAAAATTAGCCAGGTGTGGTGGTGTGAGCCTGTAGTCCCAGCTACTTGGGAGGCTGAGGTGGGAGGATCACTTGAGCCCAGGAGCTCGAGGTTACAGTAAGCTATGATCCAGCTATTGCACTCCAGCCTGGGTGATAAAGCAAGACCCTGTCTCAAAAGGGGAAAAAAAAGATCACTTGAAAAAAATCAAAATAGGCTTTTAGTGACTATAATTTCATAGGTCAGTTAAAATAAAAAATTAATATGACAGTTTCCAGGCATACTCTTTAAAAGATTACATGAGCTATAGTTTAGAATATCTAAGGATGGAAATGGCCAAATTTGAAAAATTACACTTGTAGCTCAATAAATGTTTGAATCAAATTTATAGATGCAAGTACTGACATATCGGGATTCTCTTCCCTTCAGGTTCTTCCACTTTCTGTAGCATATTGCAGAAATCAGTTAGAGTTCAGAAGTTGAGACCCATACATCAATTTGTGGAAGGATAGATAAATATATTTCAGTCTGGGTACATTTCCAATTTCAGAATTTTTTTAAAAGTAGAAGTTTTAAAAGCGAAGCATCAAAAAACAAAAAGCATCAGAAAACTGAAATAGCATGTAGTGATTAAAATAGATACATAGGATTTGAGTTTAATTTTTTATAGCCTCCTTTAATTTTTTAAATAAATTCTTGATCCTGGTACTCCACAAAGCTTAGTAAATTTTTTAGTTATATAAATTCCAAATAGGCTAAAATCCTATTGAAAGTAGCAGTGATGATGTGGGTGTCACCTGGGTTAAGTTACAAGAAGACTCAAACCATAGTGTCACAGAGGCTGCCCTTTAGCTTTGCATGCCCAGAAACACAATTTGATAGGAAAGAGAGAGTGGCTATATCTCCTGGGAGGTATGTATGTTAACCAAGATCATAAATTTTATAATGAAAGCTGTAGTTGCCAAAAGAACTGGACATTCAAGTCTTCCAGGTGCATATCTTTTTCCCATAGATATGCCATATACTAGGGAAGGCTAATCATTTTTAAACATTTTAATTTTTAATTGATGACGCCCTTTTCCCTCATATAACCACAATGCCATTATCACATTTAACAAAATGAAAAATTCCTTAATATCTTCTAATATGATGTGTATGTGTATTTCCTCAGTTGTCTCAAAAAAGTGTTTTTACAGTTGGATATTTGAAACTTTATGCAGTGTCCACACATTGTATTTGGTGGATATGTCCTTGAGTCTTTCTAAGTTTTTCTCTCCCTTTGTCCCACTTATGCCTTTTATTAGGAGAAAAAATTTATCCTGTTTATTTTCTTACTATGTTGCAAAGTCAGTGAGATTAGGAACTTATATTTTAGCACTAAGAACTGTGCCTGGCACCCAGTAGGCACTTAATTGATATATGTTGAATAATGTTAATAATACAAAAGGTCTGTGTCTTGTCCCTGCAGGTTGATCCAAAAGACTACATGTTCAGTGGACTGAAGGACGAAACTGTAGGTCGCTTACCTGGGAAAGTGGCAGGACAACAGTTTCTTATTCAAGACTGTGAGAACTGTAACATCTATATTTTTGATCACTCAGCTACTATTACCATTGATGACTGTACAAACTGCATAATTTTTCTGGGACCAGTGAAAGGCAGTGTGTTTTTCCGGAATTGCAGAGATTGCAAATGCATATTAGCCTGCCAACAATTTCGTGTGCGGGATTGTAGAAAGCTGGAAGTCTTTTTGTGCTGTGCCACTCAACCAATTATTGAGTCTTCCACAAATATCAAATTTGGCTGTTTTCAATGGTACTACCCTGAATTAGCTTTCCAGTTCAAAGATGCAGGGCTCAGTATCTTCAATAATACATGGAGCAACATTCATGACTTTACACCTGTGTCAGGAGAGCTCAACTGGAGCCTTCTTCCAGAAGATGCTGTGGTTCAGGACTATGTTCCTGTACCTACTACTGAAGAGCTCAAAGCTGTCCGTGTTTCCACAGAAGCCAATAGAAGCATCGTTCCAATATCCCGGGGTCAGAGACAGAAGAGCAGTGATGAATCATGCTTGGTGGTATTATTTGCTGGTGATTATACTATCGCAAATGCCAGGAAACTAATTGACGAGGTAAGGAAAAAGATAAGAGAAAAATAGACATACACCTAGATAAAAACATACCACTCTGGAGAACTATTCTTTTCAAATTGGCTATTAAAAAATACAGGCAAGGCCGGGCACAGTGGCTCACGCCTGTAATCCTAGCACTCTGGGAGGCCGAGGCGGGCGGATTGTTTGAGCTCAGGAGTTCGAAACCAGCCTGAGCAAGAGCAAGACCCCGTCTCTACTAAAAATAGAAAGAAATTAATCGGACAGCTAAAAATATATAGAAAAAATTAGCTGGGCATGGTGGTGCATGCCTGTAGTCCCAGCTACTCGGGAGGCTGAGGCAGGAGGATTGCTTGAGCCCAGGAGTTTGAGGTTGCTGTGAGCTAGGCTGACGCCACGGCACTCACTCTAGCCCGGGCAACACAGTGAGACTCTGTCTCCAAAAAAAAAAAAAAAAAAAAACAATACAGGCAAACCTCAAGTTGTAGTTCTCTGCACCCCAACCCCCCAGCCCCATTAGATTTGTCTGTAAGCCAGTTGCTTGGGCCTCAAAATACTTTCCCAAAGGAACTTTTAAAAATTGTGATTCAATTCAGTAAGCATTTATTAAGCACCTATTATGTGCAAGTTACGCTGTTACCGTATTTTATTGATTATAGGATGTAGTTTGTTTTCCACGTTTTTGCTTATCTGAAATGCATCTTATAATTGATGGCAACTTAGAAATGATGAAATATAGTATATGCTGGAGATGGAGATAGACAGACAAGATTCTCTGCCCTCAAAGAGTTTCCATTCTTTATAATAAATGATTGCCAGGCTGTGCACAATGGCTCATGCCTGTAATCCCAGCACTTTGGGAGGCCGAGGTGGGAGGATCGCTTGAGACCAGGAATTTGAGACCAGCCTGGGCAACATAGTGAGACCCTGTCTCTAAAAAAACTAAATAAAAAACAAATGCCAGGCATGGTAGCACATGCCTGTAGTCCTACCTGCTGGGAAGGCTGAGGCAGGAGGATCCCTTGAGTCCAAGAGGATCCCTTGAGCTGTGATTGCACCACTGCACTCCAGTCTGGGCAACAGAGCAACAGTCTGTCTCTAAAAAAAAATAAATAAATAAGTGAATGAGTGAATGAATAATTTCCAGAGATGGTCACAAAAGTAGTACTGCATAGTAAAGCATGGCCCTTTATAATTATTTACTGGGGAAATTTCTCTGGCGTTCTAATTGGTTAGGGGGTAGAAAAGACATTTAGAAATACAGCTTTTGGACCGTGTTATTGTGAAACCAACCTCCACATTGCGTTCTTTATTTTTCTTTGCCTTATTGCCATAGAGGGAAGGTTAGTGAGGAAGAGTAAGATAGGAACTGAGTTGGCAAAGGTTGTGGGCTTATGAGCAGCAGCTCTTGGTGAGCTCATGAGTAGAGAAGGGTCCTTCGGGTAACCACTTCTGCTTGAAAAATAATTGGGGATATAGAAATTAGGGACTCCAGAAGCAACAATTCTTTGTTGGTGGGCACTCCAGTAGGAAGACAGCAGTAGGACGTATTGATTATCCATTAATCAGTTGTTCTTCAGGAGAAATGTGTTTGAATTTAAAAAAATGAAACTTCCAGAAATGGAGAAATGAACAGAAAACTCATAAAGTCTCTTTTTGAAAGGAATTTTTTAAAAGTTAGAATATATCAAAAGGAATGATTTTAGGCAAAAAATTAAAAATGACTACCTCTGTATAGCTATACATTCTACAGTGTATAAAACCCATGTCTGGAGTTTTCATTCTGAAGGTTCTCTGTTAAATTAAATAAATTCTCCCTATTAAAAAAAAAAGAAAACCCATGTCTGAAATCCTCAAAGTATATCTGAGGTATAGTTTTCAAAATGACAGACGCCAAATTATAATTTTAAGACTTTGGAATTGTCTTTGTTACCTATGCCAATCTAATAAAAGCATACTGTGAATCTGGTAAGATAACAGAAAAATGTGCTTCTGGTTTTTGAGCTATCTAATCACATGTTAATCTAACATCTGAGGAGTAAATATTTTCATTATACTGTATAGTGATTTTTTAAAAAAATCTACATACAGTTTTCAAAAGATGTAGTTATTTAGGTTAAACTCCTTTTTGGTAGGTAATGAGGAGTGGACACAAAGAATATTTTTCACATTTAAAGAAAAAAACCATCAAAAGAGTCTTTCTTCATGAATCATCAATGTTCTTAACCTTTTAATCTTTGGTTTCTGGTGTGTGAAATGGCAGTGTTGTGTGCCCTTGAAAGGAATGTGACCAGGAAGAGTGATGTTCTTTAGATGTCCTCTAGAATACAAAATAAAAATCCCACAGTAGTAGTAGTAGTGTAGTAGTAATAGGTTATTAAGTATAAAATGTCCAATTTCTTTTTTTTTTTTTTTTTTGAGACAGAGTCTCACTCTTTTTGCCCAGGCTAGAGTGAGTGCCGTGGCATCCGCCTAGCTCACAGCAACCTCACATTCCTGG